GCCAGCAGTATGCACCTGTCCCCGGACGTCCGGCGAGTTTCTACACCCCGATGACCATCGCACTACCTTTTGCCAGGTGGGGCATAGATTTGCTGGGTCCTCTGCCAACGGCTGCTGGTGGAAGGAAGTTCGTCATTGTGGCGGTTGATTATTTCACGAAGTGGGTCGAGGCCGAACCATTGGCCTCCATCACTGAATTCCAATGCCAGAAGTTCGTCTGGCAGAACATCATTTGCCGCTTCGGGATCCCGGAGCAGATCATCACAGACAACGGTCGGCAGTTCGTCGGCAGAGGCTTTGAGGCATACTTGGCAAAGTGGGGCATCAGGCACTCTAAGGCCTCGGTGGCCTACCCGCAAGCCAACGGCCAAGTGGAGAACATGAACCGGACCATCATGGACGGGATCAAGAAGAAGTTGGAAGACTACACCTCCACCTGGCCGGAGCAGCTGAATTATGTCTTATGGACGTACAGGACGACGCCAAGAACGGCGACCGGGGAAACACCTTTTGCCTTGGCTTACGGATTCCAAGCTAAGGTACTGACGGAGGTATTGGTACCTACCCATCACACCAAGCACTTCCAGCCGGAGGACAACGAGATCAACCTACGAGCGGAGCTCCATTTCATTGAGGAACGGAGGGACCTAGCGGCTCGTCGCATGGAAGAATACCACAGGGCCACCCAGAGATACTTCAACAAGGCCGTGAAATTCCGCGAAATAGAGGCCGGGGACCTCGTACTCAGGAAAAGAGAGAAGAGCAAGCCGCTCGAAGGTGGCAAGATGGCGAAGAACTGGGAAGGACCTTACCAGGTCATCAGAAGATACAACCAGGGGACGTTCCTCCTCCATACCCTGGAGGGGAACCATGCCGGAATGTGGAACGTAGAACACCTGAAGAAGTTCTATCAATAGTTAGAGGCTGTTGTCCTTGTTTCATTCCCTCTCCCATGTAAAATGACCGGACGTCGTCAATAATAAGGCCCCCTGTTTTTCATCACTTCTGTTCTTGCCCACGGCCGTTAAGGAAGGGAATCTCGATGCAGATAAACCTGTTCCTCCTTGCGATGTCTACGGATACCGAACGTCTCCTCGAAGTAGGGACGCCGGTAGGACCAAGGACCAAGGACGAACGAAGCACCGGGGAATCTCGATGCAGATAAACCTGTTCCTCATTGCGATGTCCGCGGGTACCGAACGTCTCTTCGATGTAAGAACGTCGGTAGGACCAAGGACCAATGACGGACGAAGACTATGATTGCCTCCCTCAAAAAAAAAAAAAAAAAAAGAAAAAAAAAAAAAAGATGGGGAGAAGAGGAGAGTAGCTCCTATGCGGAAGGGAATCTTGCCCGGGCGTGCCAGATCTTCTCCCACCGCCGAAGGCGAACGCCTCTCGATGTAGAGGTTAGTAGAGACGCGGAGGGGGCTAGACGAACCAAGGGAGCCTGCCAAGATAAACCTGTTTATCCCACAAATGACCATGGATCGATGGACGTGGGATAACAAAGTCGGGAACCCGTGAGGGTAAACCTGTTCGTCCCTGCGAGTTCCTTGGGTACCGAACGTCCTCTTCGAAGCAAGAGACGCCGGTAAGACTAAAAGGACCACGGACGAACGAAAAAAGGGGGAATCTCGATGTAGATACACCTGTTCTTCTTTGCGATGTCTACGGATACCGAACGTCTCCTCGAAGCAGGGACGCCGGTAGGACCAAGGACGAACGAACACTAAAAGACTCCAAAAAAAAAAAAAAAAAAAAAGATGCCAGAAGAGCACGGAGCAAATAATGATTTTATTCTTCGGCACTACCGGCCGGGAAATTACAATGTGTGAAGATACAATGCAAAGAATGGAAACAATTGTACAAGTATAAGGTGATGAACGGAGAATCACTGCCGATCGACGTCCGGAGTCTGCTTGGCTTTTTCCCTAGCTTCGGTCTCCTCTTGCTCCTTCAGCAGCTCAAGGGCCCCCGCATGGGCATCTGCCATCAGGACGTCAAAGCCAGCCGCCTCCGGATCAAAAGGAGCCCCGAAGTGACGCTCGAACGTCGGGAGATTCTCCGCTACTAGCCCAACCATACCCTTGCGGTAGGTATCGTCGGCGAGATCGTCAAGAAAACGCCGACCGGTGGGGGTGGCCTGAAGCAATTTGACCCCATCCAGGTAGGCGTCCGGGCAGGTGGCTAGAAATTCTCCGACGAGCCTCGGGAGAAACTTCATGGCCATGGTGTGGATGGCACCAGTGTAAGCTTTGGATTTCTGGAAGGCAATAGAACCAGACTCCTTGATTTTGGCAACATCGGCCTCATAAATAGGGACATGGTTGTCCATGCCCGTCTGGCGAAGCTCCACCGTGGCCTGCTCTACGGCCCACATCCGGCTGCGGAGATCCACGAGCTCGGCCTCCTGCTTCTTGAGGAGCTCCTTCTGAGAGGCATTCTCCTGAACGAGCTTATCATAGGCATCGGCTTTCTCTTGAAGAGTGCCAGCCCTGCCTTTTGCATTCCTCAGAAGGGCGTCGCATTCGGCCCGCACCCTGGCCATCTCCCTGCCTTGGTGCTCGAAGGCCATCCGGGCCCTGTGGAAGTAGAGCCCGGCCTTATCCAGTGTGCTCTGGCCGCACTCCAAGAGATCTTCAGGGGCCTCCTGAGCAGCGAAGTCCTGCGGGACCTTGAGATTCAGCCCACACCAGATGGAGGACGCTGTCTGGCCGAAGAGCATCATTGACTCTTTGTGGGGACCAACCCCGGAGAACTCAATCAGTCCAAGAGAAGACCCACTGGCTTCGGGAGGCGAGCTTGGACGGGCGTCGTCAGAACCCTTGGCAGCTGGGGCATCATCATCCCGGAGACGGCGGACGTCGGAAGTACGCGGAGGAGAAGCACGGAGATGGGTCCGGGAAGTGGGTTTCCGCTTAAGGGGACTTCCGGGCTCCCCATCAGAATCATCGGCCAAGATGATGGCCTTGGAGGAAGTACCCTCCACACGCGGCCTCTTGGGGGCGCCGGCCCCCGAAGTTTCCTCAGCCCGTACCCTGGTCACCCGAGTTTCGACATGAGGGACGAGCGGCTTCCCGGGCTTATCACGCCCCTTGTGCTCACGGCCGGTGCCGGTCGAAGTAGCGTTGACTCGGCTCATGGTGGACATGGATGGAAAAACTCCTGCACAAAGGGGACCAAGATGTTCAGAACCATAACAGCGAAGGGATGTTAAAACAATACAAGTACAAACGGACGCACCTAATCCAGCCCGAGCCTTAAAAGGCTCGGCCACCAGCAACCGGAGGTTCTGGATGCCAAGTCCGGCTATGCGCTTGGCATATCCAAGCTCCTCGTCCGTCATGGGCGGCGGGATCGTCTTCACGGGGTAAGCGTTCCACCGATCAGAGAATGGCATCGGTGAGCCTACTCCGGCCAGGAAGAAGCGCTCTTCCCAACCGTCTGGATTCCCAGCATTGTTCGAGAATAGAACCATGGACGGACGGGCGATCAGGGTCAAATACCCTGTGCGTCCGAAGGTGGACAGACGGAAGAAGTGGTGCAGCAGATCCACGGTGGGGGTCACACCGACGCTATGGCATCTAATGATGAAGCCAGCGATTATTCGATAGGCGGCAGGGACGAGCTGCGCAGGCACAATCTCAAGGGCCCTGAAAAGTTCCAAGTGGAAGCTGTGAAGGGGGAAGTTCAGCCCGGCTATCACCGAATCCAGGTGGACCACCACATAGCCGGGCAGATGGCGCATGGGGTTCCGCAGACGCCGATCGTCGTAGGCCCTTGGGGGATAAAACCATTGACTGATCAGTCGCTTATCAGCATTCGTCAGGCGTTGAACCTGACGACGAACGCACGAGAAGCTGAGGCTATAACGGGGAGGCCGGGGTGGCATTCCCCGCTCATAATATTCCAGGTCATCACCGGAAGAACATCCATCGTCAAAGCGACTTTCGGAAGACATGACAACGAGTGGTACCTTTGGGGGTCGAGATTTCCGAAACGGTTTGAGAAGAATCTAGAGAGAGAAGACAATTGTGCAGCGTAAGGAGGAATGTGAGTGGATCACATGAACTCTGGGTACTTATAGGCAACACCGCGGAATAGCGCCAACCGAAGCAGGACACGTGGCGCCTGGATACCGGTACCTACCACGGCATTTAAGGCATCTCGATTTTGTCGCCACTTAACCACCACAAAGACGTCCGGATCCGTGCCACGAACGTCCCTTAAGGAGGGCTTACCGGCTCGAAGGGGTTTGGAGACATTCGTCTTTCCATGAATCCGTAATTCCACGGCTGTCCTTAACGTCGGCGGCTGATGAGGACACACGCATCAACCGGCAACGTCCGTCTTGCAGAGCACCGGTTTTTCATGTCACGCAACGGGAGACGAATGTCGTCACCGAACGCTGTTTCAGGGAAATACGTCCATATGTCCATACTCGAGATGTGTACTATCAAGACAACTACCGACGAGCGTCTTCCCATGGTCAGAACATCGTATGGGCGGCAGGCCGGCTGCGGTGGGAGGACGCCGTGCGGCAGATGTGTGTCGAGGCGCCGGAAGGATTTCTTGTACTACGCACGATGGAGGACACAAAAATGATGGGATAAAAATCGTCCTTAGGGGACGCACGGAGGATGGACGTCGCCTTTCCACGGCCCATGCCGGTTGAACATGCAGGACAGACGGACATCCTTGCTCGAAGCTTGAGCATTCATGCCACGCAACAGTAGAGGAGCGTCGTTAGCAAGCATTGAGGCAATCTCCGACGTGCGTATGACCAAAGTATGCTGTTTGGCCAACCCCCGACGAACGTCGTCTTGCCATCAGAATGCTGTGGCAGGAGGGACAGCCAGCATCGGCGCCGAGTGTCGCCATCCGAAGACGGACCTTAACACCGGCGCCGCGCACTAAATGAGTACGAGGTTTTGGCAAAAAGACGCCCCTGCCCCCAAACCAATTGGGGAACAGAGATGGACGTCCAAACAGACTATGCAACGGAGAATATCGAAACACAGGGGGAATTTCCATACAACAAAAGACAAAAGGAAGGAAAATAACAAGTAGAAGTCATGAGCATAGAGGTAATTTTTGGGGCAAAAAAGCATGTATATTCTTCGGCTCTAACGGCCGGGCATTACAAGAGCTAGAATGGGAAAATACAAATTACATTATACAAAGAAGGGGGATCCCGGTCGGCCGCCGCTCTGGTTCGGCTCCTCCTCCTCCTCTTCAGGCTCCGGGGTCGGCGGTTCTGGGATCTCCCCCCTGGCCTTGGCCTCCTCCCGACGCTGGTCCCTCCTCAGCTTCCCCAGCGCTTGGACCAGGAGATCGTCGTCCGTGTTCGCGGCCAAGTCGAAATCGGGCCCGAGCAGCTTGGCGAATGTAGGGAGGGTGGCCTTTACTCCTTCATTGTAGCCGGCGGCGAAGGTGCTGTCGCCGACCTCATATAGGAACTTGCGGGACAGGGGAGAGCCCTCAAGAATCCGGACGCCGCGGGCCAAGCGCTGGCGGGGCGGTATCTTCTCCTAAGCTGCAGCGAACAAATCAGCGAAGACCCTGGCGCAGTAGTCCTTGGCGGAGTCCATAAACTCCCCAGTGTTCCGGTAGCCGGAGGTGTCGACCAGCCACTCCGGACTCGCGTCCTTCGCAACGGGGTGCACCGGAATGAGCTTAAAGCCAGCCTTTGCAAGGCTGGCTAGCTGGCAGCGGGATTCAGCCTGCAGGGCCGCTATCTCCCTCCCCTTGGCCGCAGCCTCCGCCTCAGCTCGACGGGCGGCCTCCCGGGCCGTGGCAACAGCAGCGTCGGCCTTGGCCTTGGCCTCCCTCAGGTCGGCCTCCCTGGCAGCTTCAGCCTGGAGGACTAGAAGCCCAGACTGGGTAACAGAAGAAAAAATAAAGACAATGGTCAGAAAACGTTCATCGAGGGGAATGTGGGATCAAGTCTGGTAAGGAGGGGTTACCTGAAGAGCGGCTGCCAAGGCAGCACTGGTCGCCTCAGACGACGAGCGGCCGGGCAATTCAAGGCCAGCCTTGAGGGCCATCTCCCTCCAAAGCTCTTCCGCCGGGCGGCTCAATGGCAGTGAGCCGGCATCTTCAAGCAGGGGCCCGGTGGAGCCTGCCTCGCGGCCCCTCTTCTGTTTCTTCTCGGGGACCTTTTCCGTCCCCTTTTGAGGAGCCGCCTTCGACGGGACGACCGGCGGTGGAAGGGCAGCTTCCAGAGCAGGGGCCCCAGAACCCTGAGCCAGCACAGTGGCGATCAGGTGCTGTTCACCCTCAGCAGTTCGCCGGGCAGCATCAGAGGCCGAGGAGTTGGACTCCGAGGCGGGGGCGTTTTTGGCTTTCGCCAGTGCGGCCTTAGCAGCGGCCGCCTTGGCCTTCCTCGTCTTCAGGCACTCGGCATGATTCATCTGGTCTCTATCTGGTGGTGAACCTGCAAGAAACAACAAAGGATTAGAAGACGAGCGGAGAATACAATAGGACACTCACCCCGAAGGACAGGACCGCCCGGTGCCCCGAGACGAGCGTCGGAGGGTGGAAAGAGTCCAGGGACACGGGCGGTACCTATGCCTGCCCCGGAGAGTGCCTCGAAGGTCAGATATTCGGCTATTGGACGGACGCCGCCCTCCAACACCTTCTCCACATCCCAAAGTAGATCGTCGGTTGGCTCCGGTGACTCAATCTTGGGGGGATAGCCATTCCACCGAGCCGGGAGGGGAGGCCCGTCGTATCTAAGGAAGAAGAAGCGGTTCTTCCAGTCGTGGATAGACGAAGGGTAGTTCTTGAACAGCTTCCTCCCTGGACGTGCGGCCACGCTCAGATAGCCATCGGAGTTCTGGGGAGTGATGCGGTAGAAGTGGTGGAAAAGCTCCAGGGTGGCAGTGGCTCCCGCTAATTTGCAGCGCACCAGAAAGGCAGATATGAACCTATAAGAATTTGGCATGAACTGCGCCGGGGCCACCTGGAAGCAGTGGGAGAATTCCACATAGAACGGATGGAGCGGGAACCGCAGCCCGGCTTCGACGGAATCCAAGTGGAGCACAATCATCCCCGGACGTCTCCTCATCACATGTTCAGCACCTCTCACGCTCCAGACGAACGGTGGGGGGAAGAAAGTACGGATTTTGTTGAGGGCCACGCGGGAGAGGACCTGGTCGTGGTCAAGGGCGCTTCTGATCGGGCAGATGTGGCGCTCCGTATCCGTAGGGATGCCCAGATCATACACCTCCATATCGGAACCAGATTCGGCCTCCTCTCCAGAATCGTAGTCAGCGGGACGCTCGTTCAGGGGGACTGCGTCAATAACATCTACTGCCCCGGCAGCATTCCCATCCCCGGCGTCGCTCCCACTACCTTGAGAAGCGCCACCCGGCTCGCCATCAGCCCGGATGGTCCCCACCGTCGTGGCCGAACCAGAGGTCCCGGAAATACTGGCCTTCCCGGGGGAGCGCGCACTCACATTGTCCGAAGAGGAGCCCGAGGAGGAACCCGACGAACCAGAATCAGAACTTGACGAAATCTCCATCGAAGTCATTTCGGCTAAGAATCAGAACAAGAAAAGGAGCAGGGGGGGAAATTACCTTACAAGGGGGTTAGCCGAATTCGGAAGAAGACTTGAAGAACTGCGAAAAATCGAGAGCAAGAGAGCAGAAATTGGGAACCCTAATTCAGAGGGAAAACCCGGCATTTATAGGAGAAGCACCGATGGGGAAACCAACGAGGGGCTGACACGTGGCAAGGAGCGTCTTCCGGCCCACGCGCTGTGCGTGGGGCAAAAACGTAATGATGACATTTCCTAGGGAAATGCTCCGCCCCAACATCAGCCGTCACCTCGTTTCCTGAACCGTCGACAGCTGTCAAGCATCATGACCACGAGCGTATGCTTCCAACGGGCGCAGAAAACACAAGTATCAAGACACGCACGTCTACCACGAGGGGATTCCTACTTCCTTATGTCCTGCGCAGTCCCAGAACATCAGAAGTGGGGGACTTGTGTTGGGTTAAGGGCCCAAGCCGAGGTCCGGCCCACTAACCCATATTGCCAGACGCACGTCCAGCTAGAACACCAGGGCAGCTCATAGGCCCATGTCCCTTGGGGATGGACGAACGTCTGGCGTAGGGGGCTCAGGCCCAGCAGGCTCCTCCAACGAACATCTGTGCAGGGACAAGGAGCAGGACCACGGGCCACCAGGGATGGCGACGAACGTCTCCGGGACAAGCCTGTAGTCATCGGAGGGGACCCAGTCCACATGGTGAATATCTATAAGGCCAGGAGACGAACAGCCGGTATCTCCGGAGGATCACTTGGAGCAATCCAACTCACTTCCCGGGCGGACGAACGTCCCCACTAATCAGGCGGGAAACCTAGATTCTGGCGGGAAGCGCATTAAATGCTGAAGATTTGGTGGTTGGGACACAAGCGGTCCACAGGCTTCCACGTCAGCATAGCTACCTGCCCATTGGCGGGTATAAATAGAAGCATTTATTTCATTGTAAAGGGTTGGCAACTTTTTATTCTTAGCATCCTAGCTATAGCATTCTTACTCGCAGCACTTCTACTGCCTTGTAAGACGAACGGCCGACGTGCCTTTTTTAGCAAGTAGATTGTACTTAGGGGAGTTATTACGAAGTTAATAATACCTACTTACATTGCCTGCTATTCCTCTTGTTTCCTGATCCATCTGAAGGTTGTTGGGCTAGATATCCATACACTCACTCCACTCGAAATCTTTGGGCTTACGTGTTGGGCCTGAAGGTTGAAGGAATAAACCTCAACAGCTGGCAAGACAACTCATATTTTTTTTACACTACTTATATAGGAAAAATTTATTTAAATTCATCCATTGGTCAAATTGGGAGGTGAGGATACACCTAGCTAAAAAGAATCACGGGTATGTAACCAGCGGTGGAGTTTGGATTTACCTTAGCTTCAGAATACCGTAATTGATAGTAGAGCCTGGGATGTGTCTTTATATATTTTCGTATAATCAGGTCAGGGAATTACTAGCAGCTTCAATTCTCCCGGCATGAGTTTTCAAAAACTTAAATAAATAAATAAATAAATAAATAAATAAATAAATAAATAAATAAATAAATAAATAAATAAATAAATAAATAAATAAATAAATAAATAAATAAATGTTGTAAATTCCTGAGAAACACATGTGTGAATTGTTCATCCCTGTCATTAGGACACCTAGCTATTCATCATCCTTGTAATGATCCTTGTAACCTAGTTAGAACAGGTGGCTCAATTTGTTATTGCCACCAAATCTGTAGACTCATCATTTAGGTGACTAATAATCAAGCTCAAACACTATAAATAAGAGCTTGATGAAGTCTTGTAAATCAATTTAGAGAACTCTGAAATTTCTGAGTTAAACACGTCTGTATCATTAAACACGTCTATAGCTACTCCTGAATCAAAATGATACAAGTTTATGATATTTACATATCAAGCTTATGTTTATTTGTATATAATGAAGATATGGATCACTCAAATGATAAAGAGTTATGTCTGATAGACAGCGCCACAACGCACACCATTTTGAGAAATAAAATATATTTTTCTCAAATGATTTTAGTTGAGGCTAAAGTCAATACAATATGAGGTGTTGCAAAGCTCATTGAAGGCTCTGGGAAAGCATATGTGATGCTCCCTAACGGGACAAAAATAATTATAAATGACGCTTTATACTCCAGCAAATCGTGGAGAAATTTATTAAGTTTTAAAGACATGCGTCAAAATGGTTATCACATAGAAACCATGAATGAAAACCAAAAGGAATATCTTTGTCTTACGACAACTAAATCTGGCACTAAATATATTTGTGAAAAATTGCCAGCATATTCCTCAGGACTATATTTCACTCATATTAGTCCATTCGAAATAAATTTGGTTTCTAACGCAAAGTTAGATGATCAGAAAACATTCATGTTGTGGCATGACCGTTTAGGTCACCCAGGCCATGTAATGATGCATAAAATCATTAAGACTTCACTTGGACACCCATTAAAGAATATAAGGGTTCCAATATCAAGGGATTTTCCTTGTAAGGCCTGTTCTCTTGGCAAAATGATCATCAGGCCTTCTATGAACAAAATTGCAACTGAATCACCTGTATTTTTAGAAAGGATTCAAGGAGATATTTGTGGGCCGATAGCCCCGCTATGTGGACCATTTCGATATTTTATGGTGTTGATTGATGCTTCAACACGTTGGTCACATGTTAGTCTTTTATCGACTACAAATTTAGCATTTCCTTAACTCCTCGCTCAAATTATACGATTAAGAGCTCATTTTCCGGATCATTCTATAAAGAGATTCCGACTTGATAATGCAGGAGAATTTACATCTCAATCATTTAACGACTATTGCATGTCGATTGGGATTGATGTGGAGCACCCTGTTGCTCATGTCCATACACAAAATGGTCTTGCTGAATCTTTGATTAAACGATTACAATTAATCGCTAGACCATTATTAATGAAGTGTAATTTACCTTCATCAGCTTGGGGACATGCTATTTTACATGCAGCAAATTTAATTCGGCTTAGACCGACTGCATATCATGAATATTCCCCAATGCAATTAGTAACTGGACAAGAGCCAAACTTAGCACACATAAAAATATTTGATTGTGCTGTTTATGTTCCGATTGCTCCACCTCATCATACAAAAATGGGTCCTCAAAGAAGGTTGGGAATTTATGTTGGATTTGAATCTCCCTCAATAATAAAATATCTTGAACCGATGACTGGTGACTTATTCACCGCACGGTTCCCTGACTGTCATTTCAATGAGACAGTATTCCCAACCTTAGGGGGAGAAACTAATAAATTGGACCCAAGTACGAAAGAAATAACATGGAATGCAACAGGATTATCACACCTTGATTCTAGATCAAATATATGTTAGCAAGAGGTGCAAAAGATAATTCATTTGCAAAATGTTGCAAATCAGTTGCCTGATGCATTCACAGACACAAAGAAAGTGACAAAGTCACATATTCTTGCTATGAATGCCCCTGCCAGAATTGAAATTCCAGCGGAGAATTCTGAAAAATCTCTCGCAAATGATTCTTCTATACGCAAAAAGCGTGGCAGGCCACTTGGATCAAAAGACATAAAACCAAGAAAGACTAAAAGGCAGGAATTGATCTGTGATGCCAAAGATGTTCATCCTTCTGAACAAGAAAATGAACAATTTGAAAATACTGGCATAGAAAATGATATTGACAAAACAAACATCTCAAATAATGATTCAACTTCCTTAAATGAGGAAGATATTCCAGATACTGATAGAAACGTTGATAATTATGAAATTTCAATATATTACGTTTCTACTGGAATGCAATGGAATCGAAAAAATATTGATATTAATGAGATATTTGTCTATGCCGTTGCCACAAATGTTATGAATGAAAACAATGA